GGGGGGTTGAGGTTTCAAATACTCAAGCCAGGCCCAGCGTCACTCTCTCTTCCTGCTCCTTGCAGATCTGGATATAGAACTCAGCACCTTATCTGCATGCTGTCATGCTTCCTGCCATGATGACAATGAACTAAACCTCTGAACTGTAAGCCAGCCCTAATTAAATGTTTCCTTATAAGAGTTGCTGTGGTTACGATGTCTCTTCACAGCAATAGTAACCCTAACTAAGACAGTAGGGAACCCCCACTTGTGGAAAGGCTAACTTTGTGAAGCGACTAACACTGGTAGGCAGGGCTGAGGTATGTGGAGAATCCTGAGTAGAGCCTGCATGTGGCAAGACACAGGACCACTCATGGCCTGGGTGGAAAGTGAATTACAAACAGGGAACAGGGAGAAAAACTAAGTTGGTGCAAATAAAGATGCTTAGCATAGCTCCTGGTGAAAGCCCACCTCCCTAAGTCAAAATCCTTCACTTCATGTCCCACTTCATCAAAATCGATGTGTACCATGTGAGGTTGGAGCCTGCTGGAGCCGGAAGTGGACCTCCCCCCCACTGAGTCCCAGCTCCTACCTACGATGGTTGGGTGCTATCAGTAAGAGAAGGCACAGGAGGCAGGGACCAGGATCGGGCACCCACAGGCCCTCAGCAGCCCCATTCACCCCCTTCACCAGGAAGCTGATCATGAGTCAGGGTCCATATCTTGGACCCACCAGTGCTGGAATGAAAACGTGGCCTGGTACCCAGACATCTTGTCAACCCCCAAGTGCTGCATCCTTTGCATACATATATGTTGATGAGGAAGGGGCTACTGTGAGGATCCATGCAGACCTGAACTGGCTTGTCTCCGCAGCACAGTGTTCCAGGATTTATACAGAGGAAATACAGGATTTATCCAGGATTGCTCTGCAAACAGGAGTCAGGATCATCCCCAGTAATGTTACTATCAACACTTAAAGGCAAACATCACCTCTACTCAGAAGTAGCTGGTTCTATCCAGAGATGCTTCTCCCCTGTCTCTGTGTCATCAGATTCCCTGTGACCTGATTAACTGAGGACGGCCAATCCTTGTATTGGGTACTGGGGTCCCTGCCTGGAGCCACCTGTGTGTTCTCTAGTGGAGAGAGCCTGTTGGATGTGGAAGAGGAAGAGTGTTCTGGGCTCCCCACTCGTGGTTTTGGAGGTTGATACCGTCTTGAATCTACTCTAAATGTTAGCCTTTCCTCAAAGTGCATCTTTGGATGAGTTACTTAACAGTTATATGCCTCAGTTTCCTCAAAATGTGCATGCCTACCATTTAGACTTCACAGGACCATCATAAAAATTAGAAGAGACCAACACAGTGCCTGACACATGACAAACACTCATCAACTGGTTGTATGTGGGGCTTTTTGAGGGGTGGGTGGGTGAGTGTCAGAGGTCAGTTTCTGGTGTTATTCTTCAGCCACCATCTACTTTGCTTTCTGAGACAGATTCTCTCACTGGCCTGGAACTGGCCATGTACACTAGGCTGGCTTGCAGGCAAGCCCCAGAGATCGGCCTGTCCCTGCCTCCCCAGTACTTGGATTACAATTACTCAACACCACACCCAGCTTCGGGTGGGGGATCACTTCAGATCCTCCTGCTCTCGTGGAAAGCACTTTACTCGGGCAGCTAGCTGTTCACTGTCACTGTTCACATGGCATTAGGACAGAGGAGATACAGACCTTGGAAGGTACAGGAGAGTGGAGCAATTATATACTCTAACAGGGAACAGGGAACAAGAGAGTGTGGCTGCATGGGTGAAGAAGAGGTGGAGGGATGCCCTGGGGAATCCAAGAGGGACCGTGGCTAGGAAGTGGGTCCTGCCTACTGCAGAAAAGCAGCCAATAGAAAACATAGGTGTTGGAGTTGGGGCTTCAGGACAGAGCACTTGCCTAACACGCGGTGCCCTGCAGCACTACAAAAATGAAGGTTATTCTAGGTGTCTGGTTAGCCTTCCCCTGCCAGACCTGGTGCAAAACCATGTTGACAACCGTCTCTTCTTTGATGATGTGAAAACAGTGGCTTGCCCAGGCTGGTGCCTGTCCAGTCACATAGCTGGGAAGGCAAAGGCAGATCTTAGCTCTCTTTGGTGTTAAAGCCTACTCTACCCTGCACGTCTGCCTCCCAGCTGAGGATGGATGGCGCCAGGCCTCCTCCCCAGTAGCTTAATGTCTGTGAGAGCTGCACAGAACCAGGACTGTTTCAAGAGCCAGTTTCTGGCCTCTAGGGTAGAGGCTGGAAATGCCTGTCCACATTCCTGGGTGTTAAGTCTGGGGACGCAGGCTCCCGCCATCAGCCATCACATTCCCCAGAAAGAATCTCTATTCATAACAAACCCCAAAGGTCACTCGTCTGGGATGGAGCATTTCTGCCTCCACCCCAGGGCAGGGAAGAAGGGCGCAGGCTTCAGTAAGAGCACTCGGGTTCCCAGAGGTGTGACCTGCTCCTCGCAGCTCTGAGTCCCCACCTTCCCTCAGGTGCCCCCAGCAGCTGGTGTCTAGATAGGACAAGCAGACCAAGAGCGTGCAGGAACTGGACCTAGAGAGAGCCCCAGGGCAGGCAGCCTCATCACCTTCTAGCTGGGTTCTTTTCCTGTGCTTCTGTTTCCTTTCCGGACCACACCTACTGCACACGGTTGTCATGGAGAGCCGGGAGATCTTTCCATTCAGTGATCGCTTATTGAAAGCCCACCAGCTGCCAGGGAGTAAAAACAGACTCAACTCTCCACCTTCAAGTCTTCTAAAAGGAAATCTTGGGATGATTGTGATTTTCTTTAGAAAATGTTGGCACTAAAGAAACAGAACAAATCGAGGAGAATGTCAACAGCTGTGGAACTGAAATGATGGATAAACAGCAAATGCTTTCTGTATGTTTGATTTTTTTTTAGGAATAAAAAGAAAGAAAAGAGAAGGGGAGAGAGAGAGAGAGAAGGAGAAAAGACAGAGACAACAGGGCGGCAGTAATCGCTGATATGACCTCTCCCAGGCGGGGCTGCTGCCTCCAGCAGGATACTCCAGAAATACCGGACATGATGCTGGCACATAGTAGGGTTCTGCTAGAAGTGGGGTCCAAACCCTGGCTTAGCCTGATCACTGCAGCACTCCTCAGTAAACCGATGTTAGAGCCACAGGAGGATGGTGGGTCGCTAAGTTGTTAAACAGTGAATTTTATGAGTTGTTTCCCTGAGTCTGGCCATTGGGGTAAGGCACTGGGGCCACTGGGGTTAGGCTCCAGGTGTCTGTGTAAGACACTGTGGACCCAGCTCCAGAGGGTTGCAGCCTGGTTGTTGAAGCATGGGAATTTTTCTTTATTTTTGACCTTTGTCTCTATATTTCCCCCTTGACAGATCAGCAAGATCAAATCATTGACAAGTAGCAAAGATCATCTTTCTTCTGGAGCTGCCTCAGAGCTGAGTTGGGGTGATGGGACCCTAATTAGCATTGCTAATCTGCCATAGGATCATGGACAGTGTGACGGTTAATATTGAGTAACAGCTTCACAGGGCTTAGAATCACAACAGAGAGATGCATCTGGGCATGTCTGTAAGGGATTGTCTAGAGTAGGTTAACTGAAGCGGGAGGACACACCTAACTGTGGGCAGCACCGTTCTTTGGGGTGGGGTACTGGACTACGTAAAAAGCAGAATGTTAAGTGAATGCCAGCACTCATCTCTCTCTGCTTCCTGACAATGCACGCAATGTGTCCAGCCATCTCAAGCTCCTGTTCCCAGGGCATCCAGGTACACCCTGAGGGACAGCACCCTCACATGAAGCCAAAGTCAACCTTCCCTTCCTTCAGTCGCTTTTGTTGGGTATTGTGGTCACTATAACTAGAAAAGTAACAAAGAGGAATTTAGTACCAGGAGCGGGGTATTAAATGTGATGAAGTTCCATGGTTCAGAGGACTGTGCAGTTCTCAGGAGAAATGTGGAAGAATTTGTAGGTTTGTAGAATTTGTAGAAAAATCTCTTGAATGCTACAAGCAGAGCTTAATGGGCCATTCTGGTGAGAGTTTGGAAGACCAGAATGCTGGAGAAATGCAGACAGTAGAGACCTGACTTGAAAGGGCGCTGCAGTTTTCCTTCTTACTGAAGTGATGAAACCTTCTGACCAAAATCAACTTGGGGAAGAAAAGGGTTTATTTCAACTTATATTTCCAGGTCGCAGTCCATCACTGAGGGAAGTCAAGGCAGGAACTCAAACAAGGCAGGAACTTGAAGCAGAAACCATGGAGGATTGCTATTCTTCTGGCTGGATCTCTGGCTCACACACAGATTCATACTTGTACAGCCCAGGACCAGCCACCCAGGAAACTGTTCTGTTCGCAGTGGGCTGAGCTCTCCTACTTCAATTAAGACAGTCCTTTATAGGCTTGTCCATAGACAAACCTGATAAAGACACCTGCTCAGCTGAGACCTCTTTTTCAGATGATTTAGCTTGTGTCAATGCTCGTTAGAGTTTCTACTGCTGTGAAGAGACACCGTGACCACAGCAACTCTTAAAAAGGAAAACTTTTAACCAGGGCTAGCTTACAGTTACAGGTTTAGTCCGTTTATCATCATGGCAGGACACGGTGGTGGGCTGAGAGTTCTACATCTTGACCAGCAGGCAGCAGAAAGAGTCTGTGTGCTACAGTAGGCCTAGCTTGAGCATATATGAGACCTCAAAGCCCGCCCCCACGGTGACACACTTCCTCCAAGTCCACACCTACTCCAACAAAGCCACACCTCCTAATAGTCCCACCCGCTATGGGCCAAGCATTCAAACACAATAATCCATGGGGGCTATACCTGTTCAAATCACCACAGAAAACTCGACAGTTAACGCTGACTGGACAGAGGGGTACTGGGACTCCACAAGGAACTGGGTCATTCTTGCTACATTCGAGCAGAGAATCTGGCTGGATTCTGCTCCTGTCCTGAAAACTTGAGTGAGGCTGAATACAGGAGTCGTGGGCTTATTTGTTTGGTGAAGGAAGTTTCCAGACAGGAGAGAACTCAGGCTGTGCATGAATACTGATGAATGCTCTCAGCCTGGCCAGAGTCAGAGGGGGGAAAAGATGGAACAAAGGGTGGATGACATGGCGGGGGGGGGGGGTGTCTAAGCTGACAACCAGATTTCAATCCCCAGGACCCACATAGTGGAAGGACAGACCCAACTCCTACAGACTGTTCTCTGCCCTCCTAAATAAATGTAATTGGGGGACAGAATGATGGCTCAGTGGTTAAGAGTCCTTCCTGCTTCTCCAGAGGCCCCGGGTTCAATTCTCAGCACCTACAACAGGCAGCTCATAACTTTCTGTAATTGCAGGGGATCTGACTGGTGTCTCTTCTGGCTCCTAAAGGTCCTTATAGACATACATGAGTAAATACTAAACTTTAAGAAATCAAATGGAGCCCAAAGACATGAAAAATAAGCCCTTTGGCAAGAAAGGGTGGGAGCAAGCTTAATGTTACAGACAGGGCAGGTTTGAAAACCAGTCATTATTTAAGAGCTAAGAACCATTGAAGAGAAACCCTGGTCCTCTGTACTGTGTCTTTGAAGTTCATGACTTTTTTTTTTAAACTCAAAGACTCTGAATTTATACTTTTGGACAATCAGTGCTGGAACTTTGAAAGACTGTCGGGATTCTGACATTGGACAATACAGATTTTGCATCATGAGACAGTCATGAGCCTGTGGGAAAGGTGCCCTGGGGGATGGACAGTTCCAGCTTTAAGAATGATACGTTAGGGTGGCGTTGTGATGATTGATATTGATTTTCAACTTCACAGGATCTGGAATCATTCAAGAGAGATGCTTCTGGGCTTATACACAAAGGGGTTATCTGGATTAGGTTAATTAAAGTGAGAAGACCCACCCTAAATGTGGGTGGCTCCATTTCATGGGGTGAGGTTCCAGAATGCATTAGAAAAAACGAATCCATCTGTCCCTGCTTCCTGACTATGGGCACAAAGTGACCAGCTAACTCAGGTTCCAGCCCACTGTGAATTCCTCACCATGACGGACTGTACCTCCAAGCTGTGAGCCAAAATAAACAGGTTCTTCCTTAAGGCGTTTCTGCCGGTATTTTAACACAGCAACTAGAAAATTAACTACTACAGACAGTAAGGTATAGAATTCTCCAGAAGCGTGCCAGAGATGGGAGGGAATGGCTACTGCAAGAAGTGGAAGGCCGGATCATGGGACCACCACTTGGAGATGGAGAGGCCTTCAGTGATGGTAACGGTTGACCTCTCTGAGATGGTGATGGCCGTGGTTGATAACTCTGCGTATTAGTCGGGATTCTCTAAAGGAACATGGGTGGTAGAATGAATCTATCTATATAAAAGGGGAGGGGTCATTAAAATGGCTTATAGGGTGTGGTCCAGCTAGCCCAACCGTGGCTGTCTCCCCATGGCAAGTCTGAGAATCCAGTAGTTGTTCAGTCCACGCAGCTGGATGTCTCAGCTGGTCTTCAGTATACTCCAACTCTGAAGAAGCAGGCTCTATGCCAGTGAAGTCAGAGTGAGAGCAAGCAGGCAGAGGGCAAGCGCTGCCTTCTTCCATGTCCTGTACACAGGCTGCCAGCAGAAGGTGTGGCCCAGATTTAAGATGGATATTCCACACTGGGCTCTGGTGGCGCACACCTTTAATCCCAGTACTGGGAGGCAGAGGCGGCAGGATCTCTGAGTTCAACGCCACCCTGGTCTTCAAAGCTAGCTCCAGGACAGCCAGAGTTACATGGAGAAACCCTGTCTTGAAAAACAAACACAGACAAACAACAACAACAAAAAGATGAAAAGTCAGACCTCAAAAGATTTGGATTTAGAGAAGATTCTCCCACCTCCAGTGATGTAATGAAGAAAAAACAATCCTTCACAGGCATATCCAGCTACTTGGGTTTCACTTAATTCCAGACGGAGTCAAGTTCACAACCAGTAATAGCCATGGCAGATGGTAATGGTTGATATCTCTGATGGCAATGGCCTGAGACAGTATAATCTGGACCTTAATATCATGTTGTCTGGAAGATAACAATTACGTTGGCTAGTTTTCATGTCAACTTGACACAAGCTAGGGTCATCTAGGAAGAAGAAGTCTTAATCAAGAAAATGCCTCCATAGGACTGACCTCTAGGAAAGTCTGTAGGGTATTTCTTGATTGATGACTGACATGGGAGGGCCCAGCCAATTATGAGTGGTGCCACCTCTGAGCTGGTGGTCCTGGATGTATAAGAAAGCAGGCTGAGCAAGCCACGCAGAGCAAACCAGTAAGCAGCATCCCTCCAGGACTTCTGCTGCAGTTCCTGCCTCCAGGTTCCCACTCTGAGTTCCTGCCAGAGCTTCCCTTGGTGATGGACTTATAAGCTATAAAAGGAAATAAACCCTTTCCTCCCCAACTTGCTTTAGGTCATGATGTTTTATCATAGCAATAGAAACCTAAGGCACCAACCACACCAATGACACCAGAAAGATTAGGTAAGCAGGAGCTGAAAATATAAAGCAGGATGAAAAACAGCAAGAAAGGGGCCATGGGAACCAAGAGAGGCCAAGTCCATCTGGAGAAGTTGCCCAGGAATTGTCCCTGCCAGGAATTCTGGAAGAAACAACTTGACTAGCCTTGGAGAAGGCAGGGACTAGAAATACAGAGCAGAATAAGAAATCCTGCTAGGGAGACAATGGAGGCCAACCATGGCCATGCCAGATATTTTCCAGAAAAATGACTGGACATACAAGCCGTGAGAGGAAGAACAGAGCAGTGGACCA